CTTCCCCTCCCTTCCCCTCCCTTCCCCTCCCTTCCCTTCCCTTGTGATTTCATGTGTAGGACCCAGGCCCTTGCACATGCTATGCACTCTGCTATTGAGCTATGTCTCCAGCCGCCCTGGAACTCCTTTCTGGAAGTGCAGTTGTTCTGCTGCAGTGTGGCATTTAATTTCTGTAGTTGTTCTTCTGACCATTTTAGGTTGCATTTGAGGTCACGACGTCATTGGTTATCTTTGCTGAAACTTTACTATTTAACACCAGAATTTACTTTTTATAGATATGGGTAGAATAGGTTATTGTCATAATTTCACTCTATGTGTGTCGATATTTTTCCCCTGTCACTCCACAAAAAATGTTAAGGTAATTTTTAAAAATGTATATGTACCACACTAGATGATAAAATCAGTGGTTTGGGGAATCAGGTGAAGGGGAAAGTTGAGGTAGGGAAATAGGAAAGTATAAGGTATGATTAGCATACACAAATGTATACCACTGGGCCTTTGTACAATTGCTAGAAAGAGGCTACAAGTTTGGTTCTAAATTTCCTAATATAAGAAAAGAGGGAAATGTGTTCAATTCCTTGTTGCAAGATCTATAAAATAAAGAGTAAGTTATTCTGGAGAATCATTGGTATTGATTGACACTTGAAACATGTCTCCGATGATACAAAAAAGCTTCTACCTGATAAAGAAATTTGGTGATGGGGTTTGTTATCTGAAACACAAATCAAAATTATACTAACCCACATAATGAATGTATAAACATTTATTTTACATAGGAAAGATATAAAGCTGTTCTTTCTCGTACTTTGGAACGGAGTAATCATATCGATCATCGGCAAAAGAGATGGTCATGGGAAGGCTCTACCATGATGAATTCTGAAAACAAACTCGGTAATCAATACAATTATCAAATTTTAAGTTTGCTAATGTTCATATTTAAATATTGGCTGTGGGTAGAAGGTTGCTTTGATAGCAAGGTTTTGATCTTTATGTCCCGAATGAAAATGCTCTACATAGTAAGTTTATAATTAAATTCATGTAATGTACCAGTGCAGAAGAAACAGGTAAGATTTTATAATAGATTTGAACTCAATATATCCCAAATCTTACTTAAATTTATAATCAGCCTAAGAATAATGAATAACTACAGATTATATAATGCATATTTTAAAAATAAGATGTCTGCCTTAGTTGCCACTGACTCACTATAAATTTCCCTATGTGTGGACATAATTCTACACAATTTCATAAAACATAAGCTAAATTTATTAATTTGTAAGGAGTGACTGACAATGAACATCATGTGCCTAATTAATACCCATATGTGCTCCATAGAACTACATCATGAAAACTCATTTTGTTTCAGCTAATGATACTTTCTTCTTGAAATACTATTAAATATTATATTTTAGTCAGAAAACAGTCTGTACCTACTGAAAAACTTCAACAGGACTCATCTGCTTTCATCAAACAATACCTATGTCATTTGCAGGTCTTCAAAATTCTGTTGCCAAGAGTAAGTAGTTATTTCATGCGTTCAATTTGAGAAAATCATTTATATATATTTTTACAGTGCCACTTATTTAGGTTACGGAACATCTACATTTATTTTTTAAAAGCGCCATGTTAATTTACAATAGAAATTAATATTTTATATTTTTATCAGTATAAATCCTTGTACCATGATTTTTTATTAATCATATCAGATGAGCTTGTTGGGCTCAGGTAGCTCAAACTGAAACTTATTTTGGCCAAAAGACATTGCCATCAAGTGGCTTTTAAATTAATCCATATCTCGCTAACTGATAAATGAAATTGCGTTTTCTAAGGTCTAGAGTAGCCATTCAGTTTCTGTTAAGGATCATGATTATTACCTCATTTAAGGAAAATAGCATATCTGTAACATTGGACAGGTTGGCCTGCTTTGCATATATTTGTTACCCACTATAAACTTAGTAAATTGACAGGCAAGTATAATTACCTTCCTTGCTTTATACTTGAGACTTCAGGAAATTTGGTGATTTCTACTTTGACATGCTTTTTTACAGTTTTATTTTGATCATTTAATAGGTCACAATATTTAAATTGTACCTCTCACTTAGAAGTCTCTGTCTTTCCCTCAAAAAAGCATAAATGCTTAGTGATAGCTGTATTACCAAGCTCTACTTTGTAACTCTTCATAGTAACAATGTAGTGTTGTTTTAAACAAAATGAAGTTATCTACCATGGGTACTTCAAATACCTTATAGTTCCTGGTGTTTGCCTTTTGTTAGTATTTTTTCGTCTGTACCTGGGGCCTGGGATGTAGCTCAGTGGCACCGCACCTGCCTGGCAAGAGCAAAGTCCTGAGTTTGATCCCTGGTACCAAAAAAAGTCTGTACCTGAGTGTGTATCAGTGACCATTTTTGGCTTGTAGCAGCTGGTGCTTCTCATTGATAATTAAATGTGTTAAACAACCATATCCATCAATCCAGATGGGGAAAATCCTTTTTTTTTCTAGAGGAAACAATAGGCATGATCTTGGAAAGAAAATTACAGGGAAATCTACCTCATTCCCTCAAACTTAGCCATTAAAAAGCATGCAGATGGCTGGGTATGGTGCTATGCACCTTCAGTTGCAGCTATTCGGGAAACAGGCAGTGGGATCACTTGAGACCGGGGAGTCAGAGCCAATGTGGGCAACCTACTGAGACCCCCCCATCTCAGAAAACAAAGTGAAGCAACACTACTTCAAATAATAGTTTGAATCTTAACATGTTTCTTTTATATTAATTAGTTGCCTTCACCTTTTTTTTGAGCAATGTTGATGGCTATAAAATTTTAATACTCAAAAGATTCTGGGCAATATCAGTTAAACAAGTATAATTAATTGTAGCAGTGGCTAACTTAGTGGAAAAGATTTCTGGGTTTGTCTAAAACAATATTATAGTTGTAATATGTTGAAAGGACTTCTGGGGCAAAAGAGTTTTCTTTTGTTGAAACTCACATTATGTTATTTGTACTCTTAGGGCTCTTGCAATTTCAAAAATGAGTTTGAGAGGTCTTGGATTTTGTTGCCAGTCTGAGTGCATCTTGTTTTCTCTTGTAGTCATCTAAGATTTCTGGTTTTGTCTAAAACAATATTATAGTTGTAATATGTTGAAAGGACTTCGGAGG